ACAGGGTGTTCGCTGCCGTCCACCCTAGTCTCGGCCAGCCTGGCTCGTGGGCGGGCATACCCTGTGTGCTCAGGAAGGACCTGGGATGCAGACCCAGGACCTTTCCATTCGAGTCCAGTCGTGTTGCCACTAACCACCATCACGTGACCCTGGATGGAGCAGCGGCAGAGATGACACCTGTGTTGCGTGGAAGCCTTCCCGTAAGGCATGTGGGAAGAGATGGTGTTGGACTGAGCGGGAGTGGCTTTTGAGCTCGCGGTGGGTGCCGTGGACTGTGGAGTAACGGGCCCTTTCCTGGTGGACAGGGGCATGGGAGTGAGGGCCGCCCTGCTGGGAGACCAGTGTGACTAAGTACCTGGGGAGGAGCAGGGCAGAGTGCAGAGTAGATACGGGCGAGCCTGCTTACTCCTCCAGAGCAGGCACCCCCGAGCAGCAGTCCTGTGTCCCTCCATCCTCACAGCTCAAGCCCTGGGGCGGGCACAGGCCTCCTCTGGGACAATAGCACTAGGCAGTGCCAGGGCCGCTTGCTGCCGGGCAGTGCCCTGCTGGGATGTGCTGCTGCTGTGGCTGCTGCCCGCTGCTGGCCCACCTAGAGAGGGGGTCGCTTCGAGAGAGGGTGAGTGTTGGAGGTGGACGAGGCAGGAGGACCTGGGCTGTCAAAGGGGCATTGGTGCCTTCCCGTCCCCACCTGTATCAGAGCTGGCCTGACACTGGACGGTGGGGGTAGAGGACAGAAGTCAGTGTGGAAAGGGGGGCATTTGGGGGCTTGGAGCAGTAACAGGGCAGATCTGCCCTCTTGGGAATGACCCCTCCTGCAGGCCTGCTGGTTTGATTTTTTTTCTTAATTGCCAGAGGGCGTGTGTGCTCACCTATGACAGAGAAGGAGAGGGGAAAAGCACCCTCCAACGAGGTGTGGTCATGCTGTAAGCTCTTCTCCTCCGTGTCTTCATCCTGTTGGAATTACGGGCATGCATGCACATGTGCCCCAGCGTGTTTTTCAAGCCACCGGGGCCACGATTTGAACCGTGGTCAGCCATGTGGATCTGGCTCCCTTAACCACTAGGGTGTGGGGCCTGTCTTTTTTTTTTTTTTTTTTTTTTTGGGTTGGGGGGGATCGCCGCCAGAGAAAGAAGGAAAGGGAGACAGCACCCCTTCGATCACGTGTGGCCATGCTGCAAGCCCTTCCCCTCTGTCTCTCCTGTCTCCTGTCGGATTTGGGACGTGCATGCACTCATGCCCGAGGTTTTTCAAGTCCCTGGGCCTGGGACTCAAACCACAGTTGGCCATGTGGGATCCAGGTCCTTTGACCACCAGGCTACAGGGCTAACCCATGCCCCTCCTATAAGGTTATTTCTTTATTTCTTCCATGAGTGAGACAGACAGAGAGGCAGCACCCCGACAGGGTCTTGACCCCTCAGTCCACCCCCAACCAGAACCAGTCCTAGATCGTGGGCGTGTGCCTGGCATACTCAGGAAGGTCCCTGAACTCAAACTTGGAGCCTCCACCTGTGGGCCAGCCTCACAGAGCACTGTGTTCTACTGCTGTGCCACCATCTGGCCTGCCTTTTTAATACTGTGCTGGGGGGGGGCAGCGGGTGACATAGTGGCTAAGGCACTGGACTCCCATGTGGTCAACCAGGGTTCGAGTCCCAGACTCAGTAGTTTGAAACTCATGCCGGGCATGTGTATGTGCATGCCCCAAATCCTGAGAGGAGAATGGAAAAGGGAATCTTTCCTGGGGGGTGATTTCTTTCTTTCTGTCTCTCTGGCGAGTTCAAACGCCCTATAGGAAAAACTTTTCAAAAAAAAAAAAATGCTGTTCTCGTGTTTGCTCGCTTGCTTTTAATTCAGATGTAGTAAGTGCTCAAACTTTGAATTTGTGTCCCTGAGAAGGCTGGGAGGGCAGGGAGGGAGAGCTGGTAGAGCGGATGGCAGTGGGAAGAGATCTTGGCTCTGTCTTTGGGGGTCTAGAAAGGTCTTCTAAAAGTTCTAATTTGGAGCAAAAGTGATGGAGTTAGGCCAAAGGGGGAATTTTCTGGTGGTCTAGGTAGTAGGTACCATTGAAGAAAAAAGGAGGCTGGACAATTTAGAGGCTGCAGTTAGAGGTTGGGAGCGTCCTGAGCAGCCCTAGATAGAGGAGGAGGGAAGTGTGAGGGGAAGGAGACAAAGCTGAGACTGGGAAAGCAGGGGTGAGGAGCAGAGGAGGGAGGAGGAGAGGAGAGTGGAGGAAAGAGAACTAGCAGGGAGTGGGGAGGGTGCGGGAGGAGGAGGACAGAGTGTACACCAGGCAGACCTGGAGCTCCTGTGGGAGGCAGGAGAGGGCTCTGGGCTCCCAGGAATCCCGCAAGTTAGGACTATGCAGCTCAGTGCCCCGCCCTGCACAGCTGACTCCACCCCTCCACACTTCCCCTTCTCTGTCTCCCCTTCCCCCACTTCTAGCTGTGTGACGTGCTGGGAGCCAGGACTAGTCTGCTGAGGACCACGCTAAGGGCCTCTCACCTGGCTGCTCTTTGTAATATAATTTTCCTTTTCCTTTTGGTAGAGGGTGCATGTGCTTGGGGCGGGGGGTGTGGGGGGGTGTTCACACCCCAATCCCTTCTCCTCCATCTCTTCCTCATTTTGGCTAGGATGCGAGCCACACGGTTGGCCATGTGGGATTCAGCCGCTCTAGCCACCAGGTCACAGAGCCAGCCCTGTACACATTTTTAAGGTTTATTTATTCATATACTTTATTCTAAGAAAAGGAGACAGGGACCTCCAGCAGGGCCCTCATGCTATAATCCACCCCTGCCTTGTCCAGTCTGGATCAGGGGCTCAGCCTGCCCGGCATACTCAGGGAGGCGCCCTCCATGTGTCAGCATCAGAGGGCTGTGCTTCACCTCTGCCACACTGCTCGGCCCTCATGCTGCCCTACTTTCTGATGGACAGGTACATCTTCGAGAGAAACAGAAAGCAAGAAATCACACACACACACCCCCAGGGGAATGGCCGCGCCGCAATCCCTTCTCCTCTATTCTCCTCTCTGGATTTTGAGCATGCACACACACGCGCCCGGCATGAGTTTCAAGCCTCCAGGTCCATGGCTCGAACTGCAGTCGACTCTGTGGGAGTCCAGCAGTGCAACTGCTACTCCATCTGCTGGTTTCCAGGCAGGGATATCTTGGAAGAAGAGGTTTTGTCAGCTTGTATTTCTGTTCTTCCTCCTCCACAAGGGGAGGAAAACCCCAGAAATCTGAGGCCACAGCTGAGGAAGGTCCTAGGATAGGTAAGAAGAATGGTATCTCTTTCTTCTCAACTCATAGACTTTTTGAGAAGTGTAAGGGCTGAGGAGAGACAGGAAGGAGGTTTAAGTCAAGGTGAGAAAAAGTCTCCCCCATTTCTAGAGAGACCACAGCTGGAGTATGAAGGGTAGATGTCAGAAAGGACTTCCTGGGGCCAGCAGGTGGCATGGCCTGGTGGTTAGGGTGCTGGACTCCCATATGGCCGACCACGGCTTGAGTCCTGGACCTAGAAGCTTGGAAATCATGGCAGGTTGGGGCCAGCAGATGGCGTGGTGTTTAAAGGCACTGGATTCCCACAGTTTGAGTCCTGGACCTGGCGACTTGCTTTCTCGCTTTCCCTTTCTCTCTCTCTGTCTCTATTTGGTCAAATTGAAAAATAATAATAACAAATTAAATAAATAAATAATTCTTTAAAAAAATAAAGAGGAAAGAAAAAGAATATCACGCTGGGTGTGTGAGAGTGCATATCCAGAATCCCAGGAGGAGAATGAGGGAGAAAGGATTGCGGTGTGGCCATCTCCCTGGAGTGATTTTTCAGTTTTCCTCTCTCTGTCTGTCTCTGGCAAGTGCATGCATCCTCTGGCAAAACTGTTTTAAAAAAATAAAAAAGGCCTTCCTGTCCTGGGAGAAACCAATTGGTTGAGGAACAGCAGAGGGAGCTATTCTGGGTTTTCTGGAGAACAGTGTGAGAGGGGTCAAAGTTAGACTGCAGGAGAGATTTTCCTACTGAGAGCAGCCGAGGTGGCTGCCAGCGTGTCCGTCCTCGGAGACCCCAGAGAGGGGGGCCAGGAGGTGGCGCTGTGTTGTTGGGGCTGGATCCGCAGGGACTGTCCCCAGTGCGAATCCTGGGGCCTCCTGAGCATGCCAGGCAAGCATGTGACCTTGATCCAGGCTGACTGAGACTGAGGGTGGGTCACAGCACAGAGACCCTGCTGAGAATGCGCCTCCCTCTCTGTGTCTCTCTCAAAAAATACAAATAAGTAAACTTAAAAGAAGTACATACATAAGAGGTCCCAGAGAAGAGGGGACCTAAGACCACAACCTGGTTCTCCCTGCCTCGAGGTTAGTGGGAACCCTGCCTCCCACACAGAGGCCCCATGCCCTGGCTCAGTGTGGGTAGAACAGTTAGAGCCTTGGGGTCCTGAGCTCTGGGTCGGGGTGACAGTGGAGGCGTTCTGCTGGCCACAGCCAGCCTCTTAAGGGGCTCTCCGGCCCCCCCACTGTGACTGCCACGGAGACAGCGGCTCCAACACCGTTGTCATGGTTATAAGAGGAGCTAACTCCCATAGATTGGAAAGCGCTGGTGAGCTGGCACCCTCCGCTTCGTCTGCTCTCCCCTCCTCTCTGCGCATCTTCCCCCCAGCACAGAGAAGAGTACAGCCGCTCGGGGGCGAGCAGAGCTGGGGCTGGGAGGTGGAGTGAGGACGCAGAGACCTAGAGCCAGGGAGATGAGCGGCAACAGGAGGCAGCCCAGCCGCAGGGGCCAGGTAGGGCAGGGGCCCGGGAGCCCTGCGGGGCTGGCCGCCCTGGAGCCTGGCCTGGGGACTCCCGGACAGCCACCTCTGAGGCTGTGGCAGCCTCTGCTGTAGGGACTGGTGTCTATCCAGCACACCGAGGCAGGCATCTCTCCCTTGCCTCTGCCCTCAGACTGTCCCTCTGGACCCCAGGCATCCTGGCACCTTCCAGCCTCACTTCCTGTCTCTCTCGCTCTTTCCACAGACCCGGGAAAAGGAGAAGATGAAGGAAGCCAAGGATGCCCGCTATACCAACGGGCACCTCTTCACCACCATCTCCGTGTCGGGCATGACCATGTGCTACGCCTGTAACAAGAGCATCACCGCCAAGGAAGCCCTCATCTGCCCGAGTAAGTTGTTCAGACCCGAACGTCCCTCTGACTCGGTGCCCACTGACCTAATCTTTCCATCTGTCCTCTCCGACCTGGCTCAGAAGGGTCTCTCCTGAGCCCAGCTGGCCCCAGTGCCAGGGCCAGCTGCTTGACCCGCTGCTCCCTGTGCTCCCGCTGAGGGTGGTGGCTGCAATATGGCAGGAGCGGGGACGTGGGGGTGGGGAGGCTGGGGTGCCCCCCTTGCAGCTGTCCTCCCTGGGTCTCCCCCTTGTGCTCTGAGCAGCTGCTGAGGGTTAGGACTGGCTGGAGAAAGAGCAGGATGGGTGTGTGTGGAGGGCCAGGGTGGGGTGAGAGGGGCTGGGTGGAGAGCTGCCAGCCTTGCAGCTCGTTCTGCCCATCTTCAGGCAGAACTTGACGTCAGGACTTTAGGGTCCCCTCGGTCCTTCCCTCCCACAGCCCATGGGTGGAGCAGAAGATGGAGTTAGAACCCTTCCCCGCAGCTTTCTAGTCTTACACCGGGAGAAACGGGGGCCACAGCAGGGATGCCTGTGACCAGGGAGTGGGGTTAGAGCTCCGGCCTTCACCCGCGTCTGAGAGTAGCCTGTGCTTAGGGAGTGTCCGTTCTTTTCTACCACACCTAGACAGCGCTCTGGCCTTGCCCGGCACAGCCGACCCCTCACGAACATAGGCAGAGGTGAATTGAGCAGAAGTGGAGAGTTGGGGCCTGCTGCCACGCTGGCGGGCCTAAAGCTGCACCCCTAAATCCCTACGGAACTTGGAGAAGAAACCCCCAGAAAGAACCAGGGAGGCCTCCCTGCTCCCTCACTGCTCAATTTAGAGTTATGAGGATGAGGAGGGAACCCCAATCTAGATCCCTCCCAAGACCTGACAAAATTCCCAATCCGGAAGCTTGTTGCCAGGGGAACCGGGGAGGCGGGCAGCGCTATTTTGAGAGCAGGTGGAAAGCGGAGGTTCGATCCAGAGACACTGAGTGTTGGGGGGTGGAGAAGGGAGCTCCAGGGGGGGTGGGGGCAGCTGCAGCCCCCTCTTGGGTCTGTCCGCTCTGCCCCACCCTGTTCGCCTTGTATTTGTGGAAGTGAGCGTGGTGCTGGGTATTGTCTAAGGGACGGAGCAGAGTTTCCGGTGTTGTTAGACACTGAGGAGGGGAGGCTGGAAGGGGCAAGGGCTGAGGGCCTCTCAGGGGAGGAGGCAGCAACCAGGGGTCCCAGTGCCCAGGCTTGGCTACTCCTTTCCTCACTCTTCTCTACTCCTTGGCAAGGTGGGGCAGAGGACGGGGGAGAAGCAGATGAAGTTGGGGTCTGTGGTTTGCTGGAGTTGGGGAGCAGGACTCCCCAGGCCTGGGAGGGAGACTGATTGCAGTCAGTGCAGGAGCAGGCAGGCTTGGCAGGGAGGGCCCATGGACCCAGCAGCCTGGGAGCTGCCTGGCCAGGGCCTGTGTGGAGCACGTGCGGCCTCTGCCCTCAGGCACACGTGAGTTTAACCCCCCTTCCCCCGCCCCCAGCGGTGTGACTTCTGGCAGATGGCTTCCCCTCTGCAGGATGGTGCCTCATCTGTGCAGTGAGGAAGACTGAGCCGTCCTCAGGGGTGCTGGGGTGCAGTAAATGCGGAGTACTCACTAGTGCCCGGGGAGTGCCCCCCCAGCTGCCTGTGCTGTCTTCTGTTCTGTGGGAGTCCTCTCCTCCACCTTGGTGCTTCTTGAGCCCATCTCTGGCAGCCAGTAACCCCTTTCTCCCCCTAGCTATCCTCAGGCCGTTGTGGGGCCAGGGTCAGCATTGCCTACCCCGCCTGTCGCTTAGTTTGGCTCAACACCATGGCACTGTACTTCATTTCCTGCTTGAAGGAAGAGGGAGGTGGAGAAGGAGGGTGGGGCATGGAAATGGGGAGGAGTCAAAAAGGGGGAGTCTCTGAGGACCCTGCGGCCAGGGGGAGAAGGGTGTCTGCATGTGGGCGTGTGTCCCCTCCTGCACCACCGGCCCTCCCGTCACCCTCTCTACCCGCCCTCCCAGCCTGCAATGTGACTATCCACAACCGCTGTAAAGACACCCTGGCCAACTGTACCAAGGTCAAGCAGAAGGTGAGACGGCGGGTGGGCAGCGGGTGGGGGAGAGGGAAGCGAGTGTGTGGCACCCTCCGGCCTCTCCCCTTCTTCCCCTCCCTGTGTTCCTCAACCCCTCCTCCTGGGACAGCCCAGACCTCCCCGCCAGGCCTCAGGCCCACTGCTGGACAGTCCCCGTGGCCCTGATGCCCTTAACTCAGTGATCATCCGCCCACCTCCTGCCCCACACCTGTGGGGGTGACCGTAGGGTGACAGCTATTCTTGGTGTCTCTCTTGCCCTCTGTCTCACAGCAACAGAAAGCTGCCCTGCTGAAGAACAACACGGCTTTGCAGTCTGTTTCTCTTCGCAGTAAGAGTGAGTCGTGGTGGGGCGGAAGGACCCCTGTCCACCCTGATCCTGGGACTCTCAGCCCGTGGGGTCTGCTGCCCCCGTGAGGGCATTCCCAGGCACAGCATCTTCCTTCCCTCAAGTGGAGGTGGGCGGTTCTGGGCATAGGGGTGGTCCAGACAGATACCTGGGCTTAGAGGCAGGACGGGAAAGCCCAGATGCAAGCTGGGCTGGCCGAGGGCTTGGGCTGGCTGGCACCTGAGCCTGGCTTTGACCTGTATTATTATTCTGAGTTATCTGCACTGCAGTTTGGGAGTGTAGGTGACAGCTGTTGGGTGTTAGTTCAGATGGTTTTGGTGTAACAGAAAGAGAGTGTGGTGCTTAGGCACAGAG